AGTGATTATAAAATTTTAAGCATAAAATTGAATGTTAAATTTTTTATTAATGGATTAGATAGGTTAATACGAACATGATACGAAAATAAATAGTTTGACATGATTGTCACCTCTAGTTTAGAGATCACGTGATGTACACGTGAGGAATTTCGTGAAAGTTAATCACAAATTTGAATAGAAAGACTATATTGATTGACACAAATATTATAATTTAGGAGACTAAATTGATATAAAACGTAATTCAAAGACTTCATTAATACAAATAATATAATTCAAATGCCAAATAAATAATTAATTCAATAACCAACTCAAAAAAAAAAATTGATAAGGAGTTGCTTTAATCTTCAATAATAATTTTATATATGTTCCATACTTTGGATCCACTAGTACAGCTTAATATATTTGGGTAAACGGGCCTGCACCTGCACCAGGAAGCTTGGAATTCGTCGTGGTTGGCTATATTCAATGAAAAGGAGAGGTGGTGAAATCCGCGTCACACCTTTTCTTTCTTTGTCTTGATTAGCATACTATAAAAACTACATGGCGGTCCCTCAATTATGTACTCCACTTCAGACCATGTCTCATTGTTTTTGACCCGTTTCCTTGCAAAAAGATTCTTTCTTCAAGAGGATAGTTCAAGTAATAATTAGAAAGAATTTTAAATTTAGATGTTTTAATTTTAAATTTTGATAATTTTTTGAAATTAGATCATTAAAAATTTATCTTTTGTAAATATTCTAATTCTTACATAGATAATCTGTTTTTAATCAGACGGAAAAAAAAATTAGTCAAAATACATATAAATTAATTTAAATATATCTGATCTTTAAACAAAAAAAAAATTATTTCTTACATTGTAGCACACAAAAATATAGCCCCTAATTAAGTGGTTTTATTGTGATTCTAGACATCTCGGGGTGTCCATAACAAATTTGGCCTATGTCTGAGGTTTTTAAACCCTATAACACAGTAGGAGTCTCGTGCAATAATCATTCACTAATTGTAAATAACATTATTCTCCCACACACAGGAAATTGAAGATCTGTACGATACAAAAGAGTGTTAAGGTACATTAGAATTTAATGTTATTTTCGTAACATCCGAAACAATGAGAACGTTTTTGCGTGGAATGCTATTAGAACAAAAGGAATCATTATGCTGGGGAGTTGCCACATGATGTATTGATGCAAGCATAGGACTTCCAGAACATATCAATAATGTTTCATATCAGGACTCAATTGATTTTGCCATATAGACAATAATATATAACTGTTCTTTGTAAAAAACACGAAACTGTATTAGGGTAAGGTGTATTTCTTGGAGGCATATTATCAAACAACTAAAGAACTAAATGAGAAAAGCAAAATGGTGAGTAAAGAAAGGTAATTTTGTCTAACGAAATTGATATCAGTAAGATCAGGGAACATACCTTCTTGACCCAGAATTCAGTAATTTTCTCCTGAGAGGTGGTGGAATTGTTTTCACATGCCTAGGTTCAACATCTATGAACCATATCGTACGATGGAGAGCTTGTGCTACTTGCAGTCAAGGTGTCAGAGACCAACAAGAAGTGGGTGGAATGGGTGGTGGATGGTGGAGTGGAGCCAAAAATTAGGAAAGATGAAGAAGGTTCCGTGGGACCCATTTCAAATGCGGCGAGACGCAGCATTGCAAATAAAAGCAACCCCTATTCACTGAACCCCCCCTCTCTCTCTCTCTCTCTCTCCGTTCATTATTTTTGGGGGTATTCTTGCAGGAGCTAGTTGAATAAAATACTTGTGATTATAAATGATGCGGAACCCACCAGAGCCCTCAAAGATAGGAGCAGTATAGGAGGAGACTCCAACCAAAGTGGTGGAATTGGAGAGAGAGAAAGTTAATTATATATAAAAAGGGAGGAGCGGGATCGAGAAAATCGAAGCTGATATTGGGTTTGGCTACCATTGGCTGAAAGAAAGAGACGCAGAAACTGCAAACTTTGTTTGACCCTACACGCCCTATTGCCATAGACGAAGACGACAATACAATACCTAAAAGGTAAATCTGATCAAATTTTAAAGGCAAATTTAAAATTAAAATTATATAACAGTGAATTTAGATTTTTTTATTTAATGTCATGTCATTTAAGTCCTAATAAAAATTTTAAATAATATTTTAATTTTCAAATTTAATTCTAAAATTTGATCAATATAACAATCTTCATACAAAAAAACTCGGTTCGGTTGATTTCTTCTCCCATCTCTTTACAACTCTACCTTTCCCACCTTCCAATAGCCGTCCCCCCCCCCCCCCCCCCCCCCCCCCCCCCCCCCCTCTCTCTCTCTCTCTCTCTCTCTCTCGTTTCACATCAGCGCAAGAACCCCACTCTTTTTTTATTTTTTAATTAAAAATTTGTTGGCTTTGGATAAGTATGGACTATGGAGATATATCTTATCATATATATTAAAAAATGCTTTGGCTTTGGATAAATTTAATTTACACGTCAAACGTAAATTAAAAAATGCTTTTGTTTTGTCCCATTCTTTAGATGGTACCTATAATAATCAATAGTCTTTGGTTCAATAGTATTCATTATCTTATAAAAATTTTGTCTTCATGAGGTCAAGGTTTCAAGTCTCCTTTTCCCCTCTCCTTCCCTCCCAAAAAAAAAAACTATAATATATCCACTCTTATACCAATTATAGGTAAAAAAAACTATAATATATCCACTCTTATACCAATTATAGGTTTACCTTATAATGAACCCAGATTTTATTGGGTCAAAACAATTATTGGAATATCCACTCTCAAAAATCAAAACAATCTACTTACCTTTTATAGATATTCTCATCGAAGGACTAGTACATTTACCCTCATGTCACCGTATCAACTAAGTTTCTATACCTATAAATTATAAATTATCTTTACATGAGAGAGCACTTCTCTACACACCCTACACATAATTTTTCTCTCTCATAAGTTATCATACCTCTCTCAGAGCTAACATTTGTTCTCTCTCATCTTACTTTATTAATAAAGGTTCTCCACTACCGTTGCCCTTTTTTGAAGTGTAATAGATCATATTGACCGAACCACTATATATATGTATTAACCAAATATTTACCCTTTACTATTAATTTTTTTATTAATTATTGCATTAACTCTCCAATATCATACCCTCAACTGCTGATTGTGCATAAGTTTATTTTGTGTATCATCACCTTCTCTTAATTCTTTTTTTTTAACAATAAAGAGTGTATGTGTCTTCTTACATACACTTTAATTAATTTTCTTTTTAGTCCGATCAAAAATAAATCATTCCCATCGAAACTACTTTCACTCTCCTACACTTTTCTCATCTCCTTCTCTCGCTCACACGCACACATCACTTCTTATAGAAATTTTAGGTTTACCTTTTTTTAATCCTTCTTACACACCATTATAAATAATAGTATTATTGCAACATATTAATTTGATTTAATATAACATATATCAATTGAGGATGTTACGAATAAATAATTTTAAATAATTATTGATTAATGTTAGCCAACACTAAATATTAAATTAAACTATTAGATCCAATAACAATAATATATATCCCCATCGATATAGTGGAATAACAATCCTAAAATATGCTTGCTTTCTGACGCTGTTACCTAATTCCACCGTGCCTGTCATGCAAAGTAGAAAAGCACTCACTGATCCTAATGGACAAAGTGTATTTGTAAATTTGATAGGACGGTCCAAGGTAGTGTTATAATCCATAATCTTCGTGTTAAAAGTATTACTACCACCTGACTTAATGACCTATGTGTAGATTTACTCCGATTAAAGCATATTAGAAATATTACCTTGTCAAAGTTGGGGGCAAAAAATTTTAAAGGATAGTTCAAGTGATAATAGAGATGAACTATAAATTCAAATGTCTAGCCAATCTCTTGGAATAAGGTCGTGAGGAATTTACTCCTTATAAATATTCTAGTTTCGGCGTGGATGATCTATCTTTGATCGGACCGAAAAAAAATTTAATTAAAATACGTATAAACTGACCTGAACATCTCTGACTATTGAAAAAAAAGTGTGTATCCTAGCTACGTTATTATGATATAATTTAAGAATATAATGATTGTAATTATTAAATTATTAGTGAGTCTTAATATTAAATACATATTATTATCGATTCAATTATTACAGTATATTATATCATCTCACACTAACATACCATTTCTCGTATCCCAATTTGCCACGTATTGCTGAGACGAATCCACATCACATTTGCAGTAGTCAGGTCAGAGTTTTGACTTAAACGAATCCAAAGACTCACATATGGTGTTCATTAATTGCAACAAAATAAATATTTTTTATTATTAAATGATGGAAGGAGGATAAAAGCTGCCTACCATTTAATCGGTGGAAATATTTTATAATGAGTACGTACGTACGTACGTACGATGTTTTCATCCTATGAAAAAAGAAATGCATCGAAAACCGACTATTCATCAGAATTAAACAAAATAGTGGGGCTGTAATTTGTTTTACTTTGGCTCGAAAGGTCTAAAGTAAAAGCATATGACGTGCGTCTCCTGGAAGTTTGAAAGAACAAAGCCATTCAAGTCACTGGTAAATGGAGAATGACATTCATGATCACGACTTCAAATCACAAAGTCCACAAATTCTAAGATAAACTCTAGAACACGAAGATTAGATTCGATTTGATTTATGAGGTGGGATTAATTCAAATGCAAACTTAATTAATCCCATGTTCATTTTCAATTGGTTTTCACTTTTGTACCAGTTTTTTCCCTTAACTCAATATATTAAAAGAAAATTATTTTTTTACAAGAAGATATCGAGATTTGCACTACCTACTCATTTCAGTTTGGATACCGACCACCGCAAGTCGAACGAGTTCAATTCTCATTCAGCAATTTGTTTCTATGTCTTCTTTATTATTGTAAGGTTATTAGATTTGACTAGACAAATACCATATTAAAGGAGAAAAGAGAATAAAAGTAAACAAAGACCAAAGTAAGTAGTTTATTCACGTCAAGCAAGTCATGGTGGAACAGAAAAAAGAAAACAAGGAAAAAAAAATTGACTACAAGAAGAAGGAATCACCGGAGAACTTTCATTTTTCCCACCTGTTTGGGGAAATCATGTGCCGGTGATTTACAAAAAACTCGCCGGGATTCGGTTCGGAGAAAAATCTACCCACCAGAAAGAAAAACAAAAGATCAAAAATGAACAGTAAAAATATCTGCTAGATAAACCTAATTGAACAGGTTAAGAAGCTTTGGTTCTCCTCCTGGTGCACTGCGATGATCTCCAAAACCATTTTCACAACACGCCGTTGTCACAGATTCTTCAGAATTCCTCGAGGGCGTCCCTGGTCGCGGCTTCTCAGGAAAAACAGTCGCCGGAAAAACAGGAGTTAAACTGAGATCAAGATCTGTGAACTGCACTAGTTTTTCTGATTGATCTGAACGCCTACGCTTTTGCACCGTTGATCGAGAATTCAAGCTCGGATCTTGAGTCTTAAAGATTTCAGTAGACACTTCGGAGGCCTCATAAAGTTCTGATTTCAATGGACTTCCACCGAGAAACGCCGGTATCGGACGCAACGCGCCACCACGGAGGACGGTCTCCACCGCCGCTTGACACACGTGCCAGTTGCCAGTCCATAAAAGCCCCACCGCTCCATTCACTGGATTAACCGTCCGGCCGGCGGCTTCAAACAAAAGCGACTGAAACAGGGCTGTGACAAAAAAAAATCATCAAAAACTGAATCAGTAAAGCATCGAGACATCGAAATTTTGGAGTTAGAAGAGAGAGAGAGAGAGAGAGAGGAAGATAATTACCAGGTCTTTTGTTTTCGGGGACAGCGGAGATGAAAGCCATGAGACCGGCGCGACCAAAGAACTTGGCCACGAAGACAGTGGCGTGGCCTTGAGCTTCAGCGGTTTCGATCCACTGCAAACATGGGCGAAGAATACAGTTCTCACTGCATCCCTTCCGTAGAACTCGACATCCATTGCAACTCATCTCTCTCTCTCTCTCACAGGAACTAGGTCAGATTTGATGATGATGAACAGAAAAAAGCATACTACTTTGGACCCAAGAAACAGAAACAAGGGATTGGAGGAGATGACCATAGAAGAGAGGAATGAAGATTGGATTGGAGATGGGGAGGCAAATATATAAAAAAGGAGAGAGAGAGAGAGAGAGAGAGGTTTTGGTTAACTAGAGTCGAGTTAGCTTTGGTGGTGGTGGTGGGTGGGTGGGTATGTATGGTTAGGTTAGATTCCAAAGTACTGGGGCAGGAGCTGCTCCGTGTTTCCGCGAACGCCTATCCTTCTACCGTTTGATTCTTTTTTGCTTTCTAGATATCGATAGCCTTCACTTTCATAATTCTTTCTAGAGCCATAGCATAGCTTAAATTACATTTAGGCCTCTAAGGTTTCTAACAATCATGCACTATTACCTTTTATTGTTCAAATTTACCCCGACGGTTCTTAGTTGAGTTTTTATAGTACATTCTCCCTTAATTTTTTTTGATAAACACCCAACACACAAGGGATATATGCCAAATTTAAACATATTTTACTCATCATACTGTAATCATAAGAGCCCAAAAGGATTAACAATTTAAACAACAGTCACTTGAATATAAATCATGTTGACATCATCGCACAATATATTAAATATATAAACATTATTAGTTGGTTAGACCCCGAGATCTAAATGAAACCAAAATCTACAATTGCAATTTTTTTTGATATAATACCCAGAAAAATTTCCTACCATTTGACTGTAAAAGGAGGAGAGGTAAAGCTAATTCCAAAACATTATTCCCTCGGTAGGGTCAAGCAAGGCTACCTTACTACTTATCATGCAAATTTCAACACACAGATTATATTCCCTCGTTAGGGTCAAACAAGACACAGAACTACTAATCACAATCCCAATTTGGCAAATTAAGAGTGTTTTTCCTTGAATAAAAGGGAATACCCTACATCATTCCTATTGTAAGGGTTCATGGTCTCGGATTAAAACATAAAGCCAAATCTTCATCAAGATAGAATTCTCAGCAGAAAGCATATCAATGGCGCCATCGCTTTCTTCTCACTGAAGTCAATGCATCATACTATCATAATCCTAGCAAAAGCATTTCATGACAAATGAACAGCTAGGCGGACCATTGCCCTTCTCAGAAAAAAAAAAAAAATTGAGCACCATTTCTTCACAAATACAAACAAAACAATAAAATCATTACAAAATCTAGGAAATATCATGAAGACGTTGATCTCTGGGGTCCTTTGAAAAGATAAATCCGAAGCTGAAGAAAAATTCACATCCAAAATGATGATGGTAAAGAAGCCATATATAAATTGCATTTCTATTTATGTTCAAATAATCTGGCACTCACGTCAATTTTACCATGTTTAATCAAATCACACCACTCAAATTAACTTTTGTGCCGACAATGTTCTGCCTATAAGCATTGGGATTGTTCTTTAATGAGTGGCTACCTTTACTTTCAAATGGATTACGAAAAGCTTCATGAGTGGGGTGCCTGTCACCCTTTAAAGTAATGTAGCATGACTAATTGTGTAAAGACCGCACCATGTGTACAAGACTCCCATTTCTAGTTTCGAGAGATAAGTGATGGATAAACTTACCCATTTTGAAGAGGTTGATTACCCTCCGTGGCAAATCACTAGAACAAATGAACACTAATTACGGCTTCTTACCCGAGCTAGTTTGACTGCTCACTGTTATAATTAACCTGCAAATAGTTTGTCCAGCTTACAAACAGCTATTGGTGGTCCATCCACTAAAGAAAAAGATAAAAGAAATCTGACCCGGTGGTTCCCACATGGCTGTCAAACTTACCATCTGAAACTAGAGGCTCCAAAACTTCAGCCACTTCAAGGAATCTTCTCTCTAACAGATAATACTGGATCAAGTAAGGATATCAGAGTAAGCCATGGATCTACATGGTAGTGCCCATAGATGTAGCGAAGAACCCTCGGAACAAGAACTTCCCTTCACAACCAGTGGCACCCAGACATACCCTCCAGTTGCAGAGGTGAAAATCCGAAAACAGAGAAAATAACTATATTGATTAGTTATTGATTATATTACCTAAAAATTTTCAAAATCTGGTTCTGTCTCTCCCCCTGACAAATATAAACGACAGAAGGTACAAGAATGGTACAGCAGCTACGATCTGCTCAATAATACATAGACAGCATGCTGATGGCGTTGGAGAGATGCACATTCCGTGCCAAAAGACCATAACCAAAGATCCAGTTCTGTGCTCAACACCTGAAAGATGGGGGAGGGGTTCAGAATTGTCAGCAATAAACCAGGGGTGAGGAAGTGCCTCTTTGAAGTACTCAAAAGTACTAAACCAAAAAAAAAAGTAATCAAAACTGCTGAATGTGATGGAAAAGGAGCACAAAGTTAAGCTGTAGTTTATTGATGAGAAAAACAAAAAACAAAAAATAGCAACATGAAAAAGAGCTCTTTGCGAATCACAATCTTGGCATGACCAATATTCTAGGCCACAAGCAAACTGCATTCTTACATATATTCCTTGTGTGTGTCTCTGTGCTTCTCTATATTATTTTAACTATGATGAGTTTTGGGATTGCTAAAGGATTCATCATCTTAATGTCATCACTGAGTTTTGATAGACTTGAGCACCCTCAACATCAATTCATAATTCACCTATTTCTAAGAGTGATTCCCAATAACTGACACATTATGCAAGGTCAAAGTCAGTGAGTAAAACAGCATCTATCTAACGTTCAGGTCTAGTCACCTTTTTTCAAAATGCATTTAGGCAGAATACTTTGTGCTGGCAAAACATAACAGCAAAAGGCACTGTACATATTTCATCCAGCCTTATTTATGCATATGTTAGCTAGCTTAAATTAAAAAACACCGTCAACAATGCCATTGATGTGCGCAAATATAATCACAATTTTCTGTAAAAGTTCCAAATATTAGACAAAAATAAAAAACATATTCAATATTGAAAAAAAAAAAAAACATAGAAGCAAGAGAAAACAAAAGAATGCCTGGCAATATATAAAAAGTGAATGAAGAGACCAATTCTGATCAAAGAGAAAAAGTGAATAAAAATTCAGATTAGGTTACCCAAAAAATCCTCTCTTTCTCCATCTTCTTCCCAGCCAAGCAGGCAGCAAAAAATGAAATCAATGGAAACCTAAAATGATCGACACTCTTGCCGAACACATTGTTGGTCTTCTAGGCCAAATTAACCTCTCTATTCACATGTAATACAGAAAAGGAACCAAAAAAAATCACATGTTTCTCATCCAATTGTAGCCGACAGATCAATTTGATAACGAGACAAGATATTCAGACTATCTCAAAGAGGAAGGGATTCACTAGAGAGGAGTTCAGAGTGATATACTTTCAAATCTCACCAATATCTCACACAATAATTGTTGGAAATATGAATCTAAAAGATAAAGTGCAAGGCAAGGTGAGGTGAGGCTCAAACAAGGTTGCTCTATTAAGACGATTTCCACCCTTTTATGAAAGAAACACAACGCAGAAGGTTGTGTCGTTCCAGGATACAACAATTCAGCGTAATTGACTGTTGTTTTACTCAAGATATGCGCAACTGAATGAAGCAGAAGCTCCACACAATACTTTTCTATATTGCCCATAAAACTAATGTAGTAAAAAAGAATATAGAAGATATGAAAGTATGTCTATCTATTCTGAAATATATAAATATATATACTGTAAAAATATGACCGCTGACATTTCATAATTACTTCCGTATTTAATCAGATAATAATTATTAGTATTTAATGAGACTACAAGGTCTCCTCCGCTGCTCTTACCCCTCCGCATGTATGAAGACTCAAGGTCTCATTTAACTCAATTAAAAGGTAGCACTAGTATAGTATATAAACCCAATTTCTTTTAGAAAATTACATGGTGTGGGATTGAGTTTGTCCCATAAAGTGCTCCTTTTTATTAAAATACTCTAATAATAATAATAATAAACAATATTATCGAAATAATGAATTCCTTCAAAATCCCATTTGACCATTGGAATCGAGTCATTCCAATTTCGCACAACTTTCTCAATGCCCGCACATACACCACAGCCTTCCACTTTCGAATTCATACACAATACAGTCTCTCTAAGGTTCACAACTCTAACAAGAGAACGGAAAAGGAGTACAATGTAAATAGCATCTCCAAAACAGAGCATCACACTCAACATTGTTCCAATCCATGTTATTATGCAGTACATTCAAATTATGTCGCTCTGAATCGCAAATAAATATGCATGTGGTGACCTAATTGGAGTGTAATAGTGAGATTGAGAAGACCTGAGGATTCGACGGTGACATGGGAAGAACAAGTGACAATCCAAGCAGAGCTAGCCCTAACCTCTTCCATAGCGGCCTTCAAGATTATCTGGCTCTTTGAATTGAACCCTAAAGGAAATACACAGGAAGAAATTGAAATGGTTGGGCATACGGACCACAGGATCCCTTATTCGAACTTTCCCGCTTTTGTTTGTTTCTTTGGGGAAGAATTAAAATGTCGTTTTGTTGTGTTGTTAGGTCATTTATAAACGAAAACGTTTAACGAAAAATAATATTTTGGATTAATTAACTTGAGGTCTCTAAAGTATGGAATTTGATTTATTTTAATTTTTAATGTTTTAATTGTATCATTTTCGCTTCTAAAGTTTTAAATATTTATATAGTAAAGTAGAACGAAGTTTGAATCAAAAATAAAAAGAGGTTTAGATCGTTTTAAGACAAAATATAAACACATTTAACTATAGATGTCAAACATGTCGGGTTAAACGATTACGTGTCAGGTTAAATGAGTGACAGATAAAAAATATATAAACTCGTACACGATACGTTTAATAAACAGGTAACACAACACGACTCTTTTAACCCGTTTAATTTTAAAAAAATTATATTAACAAATTTTAATACTCCATTTTTTTTATTGTCAATTGCAC